CCCTGAAAAATTTAAAATATTCCTCTCTGCCCTGGTGAATTTCCCGTTCCACCCATGGTACCACAGTATCATCACTTTACCATTTCCTTGAATCCTAACCACAGTCTTCTAAGACTGGCATTGTTCACGTTTTATAATTAAAAGAAAGGTAGTCTCGAGTGATTATGTGACTTTCCCAGAGTCACATGAAATTTTTTTTAGAGACAGGGCCTCATTCTGTCGCCCAGGTTGGAGTACAGTGATGCAATCACAGCTCAGTGCAGCCTCGACCTCCCAGGCTCAATCAGTTCTCCCGCTTCAGCCTCCCAAGTAGCTGGGACTACAGGCATGCGTCACCACACCCGGCTAATTTTTGTATTTTTTGTAGAGGTAGGGTATCGCCATGTTGCCCAGGCTGGTCTTGAACTCCTGGACTCAAGCAATCTTCCCGCCTCAGCCTCCCAAAGTGCTGTGATTACAGGTGTGAGCCACGGTGCCCAGCTTACTCACATGAAATTTGACATTAGGGCTGTTTGAGACCAAAGCCCATATAACTGCAAATTCACTCCAAAGCGAGTTTTTATTTTGGATACTATGTGCTGGATAAAAGCCACGGCATGTTAAGTTTCCCTATCAGAGAATAATTGGGACTGTTTAGGGATTTTTAACAATTAGATATCAACGAATGACCTTTGGGTTTTTGTGTGTAACTTTAATGCGGGGTTTCACAACCTCGGCACTCTTGACACTTGGGTTGGATAATTCTGTAGTGTAGGACTGTTCTGTACCTTGTAGGATGTTTACCAGCATCCCTGGCCTCTGCCCACTGGATGCCAATAGCACCCTCTGGTTGTGACAACCAAAAGGTGTCTCCAGACGTTGCCAGATGTTCCCTAGTGGCAAAGTTGGCCTGTTGGAGAACCACTGCTTTAATTTAATAACGACCAAGCCTGAGTAGTTAGGATTTTCACAACCGTCTTTTCATTCTGGCTGTGTATAAATTGGTTCTTAAGTTTTTAAATCATATTATGATCTTATATTTTCAGGGCTTCTCTTCCCTCTTAACCCTCTTAGAAATCAATCTAAAGTAGTATTGATCACAGAAAGAACTGCTAGTAGCAATATAGAGGTTTTAAATCAATGTTAATTGACTTTCTCAGAGTTGAGTAAGTATGGTCCGTCTTTTTTTTTTTTTTTTTTTTTGGATGAGACAGTGTCTTGCTCTTTCACCCAGGCTGCAGTGAAGTGGTGCGATCTAGGCTCACTGCAACCTCCACCTCCCAGGTTCAAGCGATTCTCCTGCCTCAGCCTTCTGAGTAGCTGGAATAACAGGTGCCTGCCACCATACCCAGCTAATTTGTGTATTTTTAGCAGGGATGGGGTTTTGCCATGTTGGCCAGGCTGGTCTTGAACTCCTGATCTCAGGTGATCCACCGGCGTTGGCCTCCCAAAGCGCTAGGATTACAAGCATGAGCCACTGTGCCCGGCCGGTCTGTTTCTTTAGAAAGTTCTTCTGTAAGTATCACACAAAATGTTTTCAGTTGCCTTACATTTTTATCTTATGAAATAGAATATAGGAAAAGAAGGGATTGTGGATCTCATTTTGGCAAGCGAGTTACCTTTCCCACCAGCTCTCAGAAGCATTCCAGACAGATAAGGATGTTTTCTGTTCTCATGGCCTCTTGCCAGTGCTAGATTTTGTACAAATGGCCTTATTTTCCCAGAATTATGAAACTCCTTTGAAACTTGCTCTGAGCCTATCCTCTACAAATACCTTCAGTTCCCTGCAAAATAATGGTAAGGCATCCTTCAGGGACAGATAATGGACCTGTTATTTTCCCACAACTTGAGTAGCCCCTGACCTAAGAAGAGCAACTGAATCGTGTGATGCTGGTGTGTGTTACTCAAGTCATCAAATTCTGTCATTTAAAGGGATCTTAAGGTCCTCTTGTCCAGTGCTTCCCATGTGGTATGCCAGTGTGCCACCACATACGGCTGGGCCACTGCAGAGTGGCAGGTGAGCCTGGAGTCACTGACTCCCTTCAGCTCAGATGTACCTTGTGTACAGCTTACAAGAATAATCATGATGATGTGTGATTTATGCTTTACATGCTAACATTAGATCCTGATGTAAGAGAGGTCTCCCCTGAACTACGTGGTACTAGACTTCATGTGTTAATATTCTGGTGTATTTGTTATTTTTTGGCCAGGGACGGAAAAACTCATTTCGAATGTGCTTATTATTAATATATTTGTTATTTGCAAGAAGTTATGCAGGCATTTTGGAATTATTTTCATAATAGGGTAGACAACTACCTTCATATTCTTTTATGTGGTAGAGACAAGGTCTTTGTTCTGTTGCCCAGACTGGAGTGCAGTGGCACGATCATAGCTAACTGAAGCCTTGAACTCCTGGGCTCAAGCCATCACACCTCAGCCTCCAGAGTAGCTGGGACTACAGGCATATGCCACCACATCTAGCTAGTTTTTAAAATTTTTTTGTACAGACAGTCTTGCTATGTTGCCCAGGGTGGTCTTGAACTCCTCATTCAAGTCGTCCTCCTACTTGGGCCTCCCAAGTTGTTGGGATTATAGGCGTGAGCCACCATGCCCAGCCACATGCCATATTCTTTATATTACTTTCCTGACTCCTGGCACCCTAGGGCCGACTTTGGGTTCCCTGCTTGCCCTTTATTGCTTTCCTGACATCTAACAGGCTCTTAGGGTGTATTTCTTTAGCTTATAGTGTGTAGCCATATGTATTTGAATCAGCCAAGTGAAGTTATCAAGATAATAAATGAGAAACTACTTACATGTTGTAGGTTAGCCTTTTCAGCATTTTTTTGTTGAAGTTCTCAGAACCAAGAGAACCTGAATTATTAGCAGTAGTATGGGTAGCTGTTGATGTTTCAGCTCCTGCCATGGTTTGTATCCTCAAGGAAGTTGAATGAATAATATCTGAAGTTGAGTGAATAATAAAATCAAGCAATTTTCTTTCTTTAAAAAAAATTTGTTAACTTTTATTTTTTTATTTTTATTTTTCTGAGACAGAGTCTCACTCTGTTGCCCAGGCTGGAGTGCAGTGGCACGATCTTGGCTCACTGCAACCTCCGCCTCCCAGGTTCAAGTGATTCTCCTGCCTCACCCTCCTGAGTAGCTGGAATTACAGGCGTGTGCACCACCGCACCTGGGTAATTTTTTTTTTATTTTTAGTAGAGACAGAATTTCACCATGATGGCCAGGCTGATCTCGAACTCCTGACCTCAGGTGATCAGCCCGTCTCAGCCTCCCCAGGTGCTAGGATTACAGGCATGAGCCACTGCGCCTGGCCTTAACTTTTAATTGAAAAAAATGTGAAGTGTACACAAATACGTTGTGACTAGGTTGATGAACCTCCATGTACCCATCACTTAACTGTCTCATTTTATTTGTAGCAGTCATTCCAAGAGTGTAAGTCCTCAGACTGAGCATCAGTAGCATCTGGGAACTTACTAGAAATGTAAATTTTTTTTTTTTTTCTTTTGAGACAAAGTCTCACTTTGTCATCAGGCTGGAGTGCAGTGGCATGATCTTGGCTCACTGCAACCTCCGCTTCCAAGGTTCAAGCCATTCTTCTGCCTCAGCCTCCCAAGTAGCTGGGATTACAGGTGTGCGCCACCACACCCAGCTAATTTTTGTATTTTTAGCAGAGATGGAGTTTCACCATGTTGGCCAGGATGGTCTTGATCTCCTGACCTCGCAATCAGCCCGCCTCGGCCTCCCAAAGTGTTGGGATTACAGGCATGAGCCACCGCGCCCAGCCGCTAGAAATGTCAGTTTCCAATAGTAGAAGATGTAGTGAATCAGAAACTTGGGGTGGAGCCTATCAATCTGTGGTTTAGCAAGCCACCCAGCTGATTCTGATGACCACTGAAGCCTGAGGATCACTATAGATACCATTTCATCCTACCTCTTATGGAGTCTTTCAAAGCAAATGCTGTCATTTTATTTGTAAATATATTAGTACATAAATTGTCTTTTTTAAAACATAACACAAATGGGCATAACATTTAGAAAGCAGCCTGCTAATGGGTCCCCATATTTAAATAGGCTTACCGTCTGATCGCTTTTTTTTTTTTTTTTTTTGAGATGGAGTCTTTCTGTTGCCCAGGCTGGAGTGCAGTGGTGCAATCTCGGCTCACTACAAGCTCCGCCTCCCAGGTTCATGCCCTTCTCCTGCCTCAGCCTCCAGAGTAGCTGGGACTATAGGCGTCTGCCACCATACCTGGCTAATTTTTTTTTCTTTCTTTTTTTTTTTTTTTTTTTTTTTTTTTTTTTTTTGTATTTTTAGTAGAGGTGGGGTTTCACTGTGTTAGCCAGGATGGTCTCAATCTCCTGACCTCGTGATCTGCCCAGCTTGGCCTCCCAAAGTGCTGGGATTACAGGCTTGAGCCTCCATGCCTGGCTACCCTCTGATTTCTTAATTCCGTTCATATTATCTACTTTAAAGAAATAACTGGACAGATGCTTCGTGATGCACATACAAGGATGCTTGCAATGCCTAGATGGGGAAAACTTAGGAACACCACGTCTCATAGTGAGGGATTGGCTAAATAAGTTGTGTTTTATCCAGTCAGTGGAATGTTATGAAATCACTATACAGAAGGATGTCCCTGATGCTGTTGCTATGTAGGAAAAGCAGTTTTCAAACCACATATTGGGTGGTCCCATTTTCTTTTCTCTATTCAGGGGGTGTGTGTGTGTGCACGTGCGCGCCCACCATGTGCATGAGAGGGAGAATGTGTTTTTGTTGTGTGCAATAACTTAAGCACATAGGACAAAATGCTGAAATGTTACACACCAAAACACGAATAGTTATCTTCGGAAGATACGATTTTGGATAATTTTTACCCTCCTCTTACCTATTTTTTTTTTTTTTAACAATGATGCATGTATTTTTATAGTAGGGGAAAACCATAAGGGTACTATAACTTTGGGAAAGACATATTCATTACAATTATAGCCTCTGATTGCATTTGCAGATGGACACATACTGGATTCAAAGAGATACGCTGTTATTGGAGCCGATCTCCGAGACCTGTCCGAACTGGAAGAGAAACTAAAGAAATGTAACATGAATACACAGTGAGATTTTTTTTTTAAAACCTCTTTTACATTTGTGATTTTATACTAATTATGAGATAAGGCCAGTCGGAAGTGCAGCATGATACTCATGTTCTTATTTTTTATTCTGTAAGTTTTATTTCATTGCTACCTAGTTTTCTGAAAAAAATTCTTTTTTTTTTTTTTTTTGTGGTGGAGTTTTGCTCTTGTTGCCCAGGCTGGAATGCAGTGGCACAATCTCAGCTCACCGCAACCTCCACCTCCCGGGTTCAAGTGATTCTCCTGCCTCAGCCTCCCAAGTAGCTGGGATTACAGGCATGCACCACCACACCCAGCTAAGTTTGTATTTTTAGTGGAGATGGGGTTTCTCCATGTAGTCAGTCTGGTCTCAAACTCCCAACCTCAGGTGATCTGCCTGCCTTGGCCTCCCAAAGTGTTGAGATTACAGTTGTAAGCCATCATGCCTGGCCTAGTTTTCTGAAATTTTTTAAGCAATACTGTTCTTCAAGTCTGTTTCTACATCAGAATCACCTGTGTTACTTTGTAAAAATACTGGTGCCTAATTTCATATAAAAGTTTGAGAGAAGATAATTGTATGGATAGAAACATGTTTGTGACATATAAAGAAAAGATTGGCGTCCAGAATATATAAAGAACAACTACTATTAAAAGCCTCATAGAAAAATGGGCAAAGGATAGATTACCAGGCAGTTCAAAGAAGAAACTGAATATCATATGAAACAGGTATTGGGCATCAGTGATAATCGGATGAAATTCTATTTTACTCTCACCAAGTTGGCAAAAATGTAACAGCTGATAGTATCAAGTGTTGGCAAGGATGTGGGGGATAGGGAATGATACACCACTGCTGGAAGTGAAGTTGGTGCAACCATTGTGAGGAGCAATCTGAAAGTATCGAGTAACATTGTAAGTATGTGTACCATAGGATATAGCAGTTCCACTTTCGTGGGTGTCCCCTTGAGAAAATCTTGCATATATGCATAAGGAGAATGTTCCTTGTAGTTCATGAGTCTGGGAACTGAGTCCAGCTGCACAGGTTTGAATCCTGACAAGAACATGCACTAGACCATGACCTTGGATAACTTCACTTCTCTGCATCTGTTTCTTCTGAAAAATGTGAATTATAGGCTGGGCGTGGTATCTCATGCCTGTAATCCCAGCACTTTGGGAGGCCAAGGTGGGCAGATCACCTGAGGTCAGGAGTTCGAGACCAGCCTGGCCAGCATATTGAAGCCCCATCTCTACTAAAAATACAAAAAATTAGCTAGGCGTGGTGGTGGATGCCTGGACCCCAGCTACTCAGGAAGCTGAGGCAGGAGAATCATTTGAACCCAGGAGGTGGAGATTGCAGTGAGCCAAGATCACGACATCGCACTGTAGCCTAGACAACAGAGCAAGACTCCATCTCAAAAAAAAAAAAAAAAAAAAATGTGAGAATGTGAATACTACTAGAACCCACCTGTAAGTGTTAGCGGTTGAGAATGTTGATAACTGTCAAAGAAGTCTCTATCAAACCAGCTCTTCATTTCTGTAGTTTTAATTGTTGCTGATGATTTTGATGGTTCCTCAAAGAGAGAAGATAAAATAATTCCTAATCCCAATACTTGGGAATAACCACCTTAATAAATTTTATCCCAAAATTTGTAAATATATGTTTTTCTTTAAAATGTGATTATGCTATGTGTATAATTTTTGAAACTTTTTGTTTGTTTGGAGACAGAGTCTTACTCTGTCACCCAGGCTTTGGAGTGCAGTGGCGTGATCTGTGCTTACTGCCGTGAATCTCCAGGCTCAAGTGATCCTCCCACCTCAGCTTCCTGAGTAGCTGGGACCACAGGCGATGCACACCACACCCAGTTAATTTTTGTAGAGACAAGGTTTCACCATATTGCCCAGGCTTGCTTTGAACTCCTGAGCCCAAGCAATCTGCCTGCCTTAGCCTCTAAAGTGTTGAGTTTTGAGGTGTGTGCCATTTACCCAGCCAGTTTGGAACTTTTAAAAAGAATCGGCGGCCGGGCGCGGTGGCTCAAGCCTGTAATCCCAGCACTTTGGGAGGCCGAGACGGGGGATCACGAGGTCAGGAGATCAAGACCATCCTGGCTAACCGGGTGAAACCCCGTCTCTACTAAAAAATACAAAATCTAGCCGGGCGGAGTGGTGGGCGCCTGTAGTCCCAACTGCTCGGGAGGCTGAGGCAGGAGAATGGCGTGAACCCGGGAGGCGGGCTTGCAGTGAGCTGAGATCCGGCCACTGCACTCCAGCCTGAAGCTGTTTAGACGAAACTCCGCCTCAAAAAAAAAAAAAAAAAGAAAAAAAAAAAAAAAAGAATCGGCTTGGGCACGGTGGCTAACGCCTGTAATCCCAGCACTTCGGCTGGGCACGGTGGCTAACGCCTGTAATCCCAGCACTTTGGGAGGCTGAGACAGGCAGATCACGAGGTCAAGAGATTGAGACCATCCTGGCCAACATGGAGAAACGTCGTCTCTACTAAAAATACAAAAATTAGCTGGGTGTGGTGGTGTGTGCCTGTAGTCCCAGCTACTTCGGAGGCTGAGGCAGGGGAATTGCTTGAACTCAGGAGGCAGAAGTTGCAGTGAGCAGAGATTGCGCCACTGCACTCCAGCCTGGTGACAGAATAAGACTCCGTCTCAAAAACAAAAAAAAAAAAAATCAAATATATGTATGTATATGTACACATACAATCATTTGTTTGTTAGTCTATTCACTCATTTAGCAAATAATCGAGGTTCTGTGAGGTACCGGTACTCACTATAGAGCCATGAACAAAACAGCTTACACATTGTTGTGTAAAGAAAAGAGACATTAAACAGCTAATGACATTTGACTGTTTAGTTACTCCTGGGATATCTGCTTTGAAGAAGTGCAGGGAAGCATCTGATAGGCCACTTGAATCTGGGGACCATGGATAGCTTTGTATCAATAAACGCAGTCCCTGAAACATCATACTTACGAGCTGCATAGTAGTCCATTGGGTAGGGCATACCATGTTCTTTTCAACCAGTTTCTTGTTGGGCTTAGCTGGATGTTCTGCAGTTTAGGCTGGGCTTAGCTGGATGTTCTTCGGCAGTTTGGGTTGGTCTTCCTTAGCTGGAGGTTATTCTGCAGTTTGGACAGGGCTTAGCCGGATGGTTCTGACTGGGGTTGGGTTTAGCTGATATCCTGGAGTTCAATCATGTGGATAGTGGGGCAGGCCAGCTAGGGTCTGGCTGGCTGTCAGTTGGGAGGCCTCCTTCTCTTCCACAGATCTTCTCCTCCTATAGCAGGCTAGCTTGGGTTCCTTCAGATGGTTCCTTCTCCTCCTATAGCAGGCTAGCTTGGGTTCCTTCAGGTTTCCAAGTGCAGCAAGAGAGCAAGCACCAATGTGCAAGTGACTTTAAAAACTTCTGCTTGCATCATGTTTGCTACTGTCCTGTTGACCAAAGCAAAAGTTTCATGACCAGCCTAGATTCCAGGGGTAGAAGAATAAACACCTCTCAAATGGGAGAAGCCTCAGTGTTGTGTTGGCATGGTGTGAGTGCACAACAGGGGAGAACTTGTAGCCGTTTTTGCAGTCCACCACACACGCTTAACATGTTTTCATTGCCACACAAATCATTGCTCACTGCTCACCTGTTCACAGTAGAAAGCTCGGATTGTGATGGTATTCCCCCATGTATTTCTGCCCTGACTGGGGCTGTGCTCGCTCAGGCCTTCTGATTTCCCTGGGGCATGGACTGCCCCACCAGCACTGCAGTATGATTAGAGGGTCCTGACTTGATGATAACAAATTTATGTGCCTTTTTTTCTTCTCTTAAGATTGCCAACACTCCTGATAGCTGAATGTGTGCTGGTTTACATGACTCCAGAGCAGTCCGCAAACCTCCTGAAGTGGGCAGCCAACAGTTTTGAGGCAGCCATGTTCATAAACTACGAACAGGTAAAAGGAAGCACAGGAGAATTGGATTCTGTACAGGACCCCTGTGGTGGCTTCCCTCTCCCAGCACCCTTCGGATAACTTCCCTTATCCTTTTCCTTCTTCCTCCAGCCTCTCACGTATCTCCTTTATTCATCAACCAGCTATCTTAGTGCTCCTGACCTCTTGACCTCCTGCAGACTTTTAGCCAGAGTTATTGGAACTTCTGTCTTAGCCTTTACAAAAGTCTTTCAAGTTCTTATTTTTATCATTACATGTACCGTGGAGTCATAGAACATGAGGAAGGGGATTTTGGCTACCAGCATTTCGGGGTAGCAACTCAGATGCTGTCAGGGACAGGCAGGTGGTACCAGTGGAGGAAGTCAGCCAGGTGTAGTAGTGTAGGGTTTGGGGACTGTGGTGAACTGGAGCACCAATGTCCCACCTCATGGGAGTGGCCACTGTCCATTTACAGCCAGTTGTTATCATGTAGGCATGTGAGCCTAGAGCTGCCAGAACTACTGATTTTTGAAAGAAGCTGGAAATGTAGGATTTTAATGTAAAATATTCTAGTTTCTAAGATGACCGTGTATGATTTACCAGCCGCCTGTTTACTTCTTCTGATTTATTGCAGAAAAAGTTCTGTTTTAGAGCTTTGGAATAGCCCAGCTTGGGTTGAATCCTGGCCCTGGCTTGTGCTCTCAGCTGTGTGACCTTAGGCAGCACAGCTTAGTGATTGGGAGTCCATGCTCCATGCTTAGTGGGCATTCCTGCTGTGTGACCTGGGCAAGTTACATAACCCCTCTGTGCCTGTTTCTTTTTTTTTCTTTTCTTTCCCTTTCCCTTTCCTTTCCTTTTCTTTCTTTTCTTTGCCAGAGTTTCACTCTTATTGCCCAGGCTGGAGTGCAGTGGCGCGATCTCGGCTCTCTGCAACCTCCACCTCCCAGGTTCAAGCCATTCTCCTGCCTCAGCCTTCCAAATAGCTGGGATTACAGGTGTGCACCATCACATCCGGCTAATTTTGTGTTTTTAGTAGAGATGGGGTTTCACCAAGTTGGCCAGGCTGGTCTCAAACTCATGACCTCAGGTGATCTGCGTGCCTCAGCCACCCAAAGTGCTGGGATTATAGGCGTAAGCCACCATGCCCGGCTGTCCCTCTGTGCCTGTTTCTTCATCTGAATATAATAGTCCCTACTTCATAGCATTGTTGTGAGATGTAAATGAGTTAATGTATCCAAAAGCACTGACAGTGTTGCCCAGCTGTAAGTAAGCATCAGCTATTTTTTTGCTCTCTCTGAGCCCCCGTTCTTTGTTTTTAAAGAAATAATACCCACTCTTGGCCGGGCACGGTGGCTCACGCCTGTGATCCCAGCACTTTGGGGAAGCCGATGTGGGCAGATCACCTGAGGTCAGGAGTTTGAGACCAGCTTGGCCAACATGGCGAAACCCTGTCTCTACTAAAAATACAAAAATTAGCCAGGCATGGTGGCAGATACCTGTAATCCCAGCTACATGGGAGGCTGAGGCAGGAGAATCGCTTGAACCGGGGAGGCAGAGGTTGCAGTTAGCTGAGACTATACCATTGTATTCCAGCCTGGGTGACAGAGTGAGACTCTATCTCAATAAAAAAAAAAAAAAGAATAATACCCGCTCTCCAGATTATTATGGGGATTCCTGAGATGCTGTCAGTGGCTTATCGCATGATAAGCACTGATACATGCTCACTATTTTTATTGTATATTGCTTTTTGTTTATTTGTTTGTTTGAGGTGGGGTCTCACTCTATCACCCAGGCTGGAGTGCAGTGGTGGGGATCATGGCTCACTGCAACCTCGACCTGGGGCTCAGATGATCCTGCCAGGTCATCCTCCCAAGTAGCTGAGATCACAGGTGCACATACCTCGCCCAGTTAATTTTTAAATTTTTTTTGTAGAGACAGGGTTTTGCCATGTTGCCCGGGTTGGTCAGGTTTTTTTTTTTAATCTCCTTTTCTTTTTTATTTTATCACACAAAAGATCAATAAGGGGACTTGCTCAGTGTCACATAATTATGGACAGATCTAGGGCTAGCCCTTGGTCTCTCAACCTCCTCCCCAGGTCCCTTCCTGCCCAGGTTCCTGTGTAGATGGTTCTTGATTGGTTGATTTTGCATCCTTCCCTCTCTTTAGTTGGGAGCGCTCCTCAGACTCTGTCTTCCGTCCTGATGGATGGATGTAATGGAAGGTGGCCTCACTGGTCTTTTCTTTTGATGTGAATAAATCCTGGGGACCTATCTTTGCTTTCAGGATAACCACATCTGGGGAAACAAATTCCACTGTCCATACTCCACATTTCAGATTTATGCTGCTGCTTTCACTTTCCTTACTTTGTGTATTCTTTTGTTGAACAAGTGTTTATTCAACACCATATGAGAGATGATGGATTCAGTGAATTCTGACCAGAGATCGTGTCACTTTGGAGCAAGCCTGGGAATGTGCCAGTTTTCAAAATGTTGTCCACAGCTGTCCCTCAACCGGTTCTGCTCCCACTCGCCACCCTCACCTGGTGCACAATGAACATTTAAGTTAATTCAGTAATTTCCTAACAAACACAAAATGATCAGCACCTCACAAACATGTATTAATTGCTCACATGCCTTACATTGTTTGCTTTTCCTTTTTTTTTTTTTTTCCCCAGAAACAGGGTCTTGTTCTGTCACCCAGGCTGGAGTGCAGTGGTGCCATCATAGTTCATTGCAGCCTTGAGCTTCCAGGCTCAAGTGATCCCCCAACCTTAGTCTCCCCATTAGTTAGGACTGTAGGTGCACACCACCATTCTCAGCTAAGTTTTTTTTTTTTTTTGGTAGAGACGGGATCTTGCTGTGTTGTCCAGGCTGGTCTCAAACTTCTGGCCTCAAGCAGTTCTCCTACCCCAGTGTCCCAAAGCCCTGGGACTACAAGCATCAGCCACCATGCTTAGCTTGTTTTCTAATTAGTAGTTTAAGATGACAAAACTACATGGATGATAATAATTTCAATCATAATTCTAAAGCAGTGGTAGCAAATTCTTAGATTTTGCTTACTATATAGCAGGGACTATTCTATGAGTTTTACATATATTAACTTATTTATTTATTTATTTATTTATTGAGATGGAATCTTACCCTGTCACCCAGGCTGGAGTGCAGTGGCATAATCTTGGCTCATTGCAACCTCCACCTCCCAGGTTCAAGTGATTGTCCTGCCTCAGCCTCTTGAGTAACTGGGATTACAGGTGTGTGCCACCATTCCCAGCTAATTTTGTATTTTTAGTAGAGACGGGGTTTCACCATGTTGGCCAGGCTGCTTTTGAACTCCTGACCTCAAGTGATCTGCCTACCTCGGCCTCCCAAAGTGCTGGGATTACAGGTGTGAGCCACTGCACCTGGCCTATTAATTTATGTAATTATCACAGCTAGCCACAAGTAGATACTAGTACTATTCTAATTCTATAGGTAAGGGGAGACTGAGGCACAGAGTTATGTAGTTTACACACAGCCTCAAAGCTCTTAAATGTCAAGCAAAGATTCAAACCCAGGCAATAAAATGACAGAGTATGTGCTGACAAACACTTTCTATCTGGAATGAAGAAGTGCCATGTGATCATTAGTGCCACATTCCTTTCTCTCCACCAAAATAGTGTTGGTTCTTGTCTAGCAGTGCTGTCGTGTGCACTCCGAAAATCATTTCTCATATTGTTAAGTGGATTTTCCGCTGCTGAGATGGAGTTTCGCTCTTGTTGCCCAGCCTGGAATGCAGTGGTGCGATCTCGGCTCACTGCAACCTCCAACTCGCGGGTTTAAGTGATTCTCCTGCCTAAGCCTACCTAGTAGCTGGGATTATACTTGCCTGCCACCACACCCAGCTAATTTTTGCATTTTCAGTAGAGATGGGGTTTCACCATGTTGTTCAGGCTGGTCTCGAACTCCTGGCCTCAAGTGGTCCGCCTGCTTCAGCCTCCCAAAGTACTGGGATTACAGGCATGAGCCACCGCACCCGTCCTTTTTTTTTTTTTTTTGAGACAAGAGTCTGTTATCCAGACTGGAGTGCAGTTGCACAATCTTGGCTCACTGCAACCTCTGCCTCCTGGGTGCAAGTGATTCTCCTGTCTCAACCTCCTGAGTAGCTGGGATTACAGGCACATGCCACTGTGTCTGGCTGATTTTTGTATTTTTAGTAGGGACGGTGTTTCACCATGTTGGCCAGGCTGGTGTTGAACTCCTGACCTCAAGTGATCTACTCGCTTCAGCCTCCCAAAGTGCTGAGATTACAGGCATGGCCACCATGCGTGGCTGAAAGTGGCGAATTTTTGAAAAAGCGATAGTGTATATACAATGGTGTACACTAATATTGTTTCCTGGCATTTTTCGTATATAATTTGAGGTTTTTTAGATCAGTTTTTGTAATTCAAAAAGTAATACCACATGCAGAGTACAAAAATTAAAAATACAACAGGGTAGACAAGGAAAAGTAAATCTCTCTCTTGCCCCAGACCTTGGTCCTCTAATCTGGAAAGCAAGGCTGCCACATTCCAATTTTTCTATGTACATAGAGATTCTTTTTTTCCTTGAAGACAGATGGGCGTATACTATCCATATTCCTCTCTACTTCACTTTTCAAGAGTTTACCCTAGAGGTCATTTCATGTCTGTATCTGTCTTCCTTCTCTTGTTTTCATGGCTATATATAATTTCGTTATACAGACATGCCAGGAGTTATTTCCAGATTCTTCCTATTTTACCTAATGCTGTGATAAACATTCTTGCATCTTAGCAGATACGTGTGAGTGTGTCTGTAGGGTAGATTGCTTTCGGTGGAGTTGGTGGATCACAGGTTGAGCATTTATTTTTTATTTTTTGTTTTTTTTATTTTTTGAGATGGAGTCTCGCTCTGTCGCCCAGGCTGGAGTGCAGTGACACAATCTCGGCTCACTGCAAGCTCCGCCTCCCAGGTTCACGCCATTCTCCTGCCTCAGTCTCCCGAGTAGCTGGGATTGCAGGCACCCGCCACCATGCCCGGCTAATTTTTTGTATTTTTAATAGAGAAGGGGTTTCACCGTGTTAGCCAGGATGGTCTCGATCTCCTGACCTCGTGATCCGCCCACCTTGGCCTCCCAAAGTGCTGGATTACAGGCGTGAGCCACCTCACCCTGCCAGGTTGAGCATTTAAAATGGGTGTATCCTGCCCAATTGCCCTTCCAGGGCTACCCAAGTTTATGCTCCCGCCAGCACTGTGCTGGTGCCTGCCCCTCAGTCGTTTTCCTATGCTGGGTGTGCCTCATCAGACGTCAGCCTCTACTGCTTAAAAATAGGATGATGATGTTTTATTCTGCATATTTAACAAACCCTTAGAGTAATGTCTTACCTTCTCTTTCCCTCCTAGGTGAACATGGGTGATCGGTTTGGGCAGATCATGATTGAAAACCTACGGAGACGCCAGTGTGACCTGGCGGGAGTGGAGACTTGCAAGTCATTAGAGTCACAGGTCAGAGAGCAGGGACTGGGACATCCATTTGGACCCTTAGTCAACCAAGATATATAAAGGTCTTTCTTTGCAGATATGATCATGGAGAAGCCCTGTTCAGTGCCTGCCACCATAGGCTGCTGAGCCTCCATGTGGGCCACTAGTTCATGATACTGAAAGACCAAGTCCTGCTTTGCCATCTTGGTGTAGAAAATACACATTTACATTTCCTACACCCTATTATTTTGACTTTGTATTATGCAAATTTTCAAACAAAAAGGTAGAGGGAATGGTAAAATAAAAACACACGTCCCATCACCTAACTTCAGTATTACTTATTTTATCAGTATTATTTCCTGTATTCTCCCACAATTTTTTTGTTGATGTTGGAATATTTTCAGGCAAATCCCAGACAACACATGATTTCACCCCTAAATACGCATGTGAATCACCTACCAATAAGGACTTGCTTCTCCCAGGATGATGATGACACCATTTCACAGATCATACCTCACAAGCTGACAACTCCTTCATAGCATTTAATGCCCAGTTCATGTTCAATTTCCCGAGTTATTTAAAAAAACCTTTTTTTTATAGTTGATGTGTTTGAATCAGGATTTAAACGTTGTCCACACTTTGTAGATGATTGATATGTCCGTTAAACCTCTTTGACTCTATAGTAATGCCCCCTTCCTTTAAAAAAGTCATTTATTTTTTCTCAAAACAACTCCCACCCCTGCCCCCATATAAATAGGTTCATTTTTTGGGTGGGTGTGGTGGCTCACACCTATAATCCCAGCACTTTGGGATACTGAGGCAGGCAGATCACCTCAGTTCAGGAGTTTGAGACCAGCCTGGCCAATATGGTGAAACCCCATCTCTACTAAAAATACAAAAATTAGTCGGGCGTGGTGGCACTCGCCTGTAATCCCAGCTACTCGGGAGGCTGAGGCAGGAGATTTGCTTGAACCTGGGTGATGGAGGTTGCAGTGAGCCGAAATCAAGCTACTGCACTCCAGCCTGGGCAACAGAGTGAGCCTCTGTCTCAAAATAAATAAGTAAATTTAAAAATAAATAAATAGGTTCATTTTTACATGTCTTTTGTCACATAACCATTAGAATGCTTTAAAAAACTGTCGCTTATAGAAAAGTTTTTCCTTTATTTCTCTTTGGAAGTACTTTAGTGAATTTCTCCCCATTATAACAATGCTTGTTCAGTATGGAAAGTTGGAAAGTAAAAAGAAGATATTAGGGTCTAGGATGTGCTTTTGAGAAAGGAGTCAGCTCAGAGGAGGTCTGGTGTGCTTAAGAGCGTCTCAGTGCCTGGCGCACTGGCTCACACCTCTGATCCCAGCACCTCGGGCAGCTGAAGGGGGAGGAATCGCTTGAGCCTAGTAGGTCACGGCTGCAGTGAGCTGTGATCACACCACTGCACTTCAGCATGGGCAACAGAGTGAGACCTTGTCTCTTTAAAACAAAATAGTGTCTCAGATTTGTAAGCCAGTGCCTGGTAGTTCTCTAGTTCTCCATTTCTCTTCGTTGCACGTTTTAGAAAGAACGGCTCCTGTCGAATGGGTGGGAAACAGCATCGGCCGTCGACATGATGGAGTTGTACAACAGGTTACCTCGAGCTGAAGTGAGCAGGTATGGGGTTGGTGAGCGTCAGCTTGATGGGCATTCATTGTGAACTGAAGGCATGATTGCCTCTATTCTTTAATGCAGAAAAACAGAACAATATGTGGAGATTTCATTTAAAAAAAAAAAAACACAAGGCCAGGCACGGTGACTCACACTTGTAACCCCAGCACTTTGGGAGGCATAGGTGTGCAGATCACTTGAGCTCAGGAGTTCGAGACCAGCCTGGCCAATATGGTGAAACCCCGTCTCTACTAAAAATACAAAAATTAGCCAGATGGGGTGGCACACATTTGTAATCCCAGCTACTCGGGAGGCTGAGGCAGGAGAATCGCTTGAACCCCGGGGCGGGGGCAGAGGTTGCAGTGAGCTGAGATCATGCCACTTCACTCCAGCCCTGGTGAAAGAGCGAAACTCTGTCTCCAAAAAATAAAATAAATAAAAATGCAAAAGTTAGCCGGGTGTGGTGGCACAGGCCTGTAATCCCAGCTACTAAGGAGGCCGAGGCAGGGGAGTTACTTGAATCCAGGAGGCGGAGGTTGCAGTGACCTGAGGTTGTGCCACAGTATCCAGCCTGGGTGACAGAGCAAGACTGCTTCTCAAAAAAAAAAAGACCCTAACTAGACCTATTTTGAAACAAATTAAACACTGATAGCAGCTTGAAAGTAACTCATTAGCTATTAACTGAGATAGGGCTTATGCCCAAACTGATTCTTTTAGTTGAAACAAACAGTTACACCTGGAAAACTCCCAGAGCAACCTTGGCAGTGGAAATTTTACATAACTTTGGAGAGGGAGGAAAACGATGTTGCTCAAGGACGTATAAGGGGCTGGTGGGTTTTTAAATGGACTTTTCTCCCCATTATAAAGGAAATCTATGCTTGTGGTTCTAAAAAGTTCCTCAAGCATTATAAAGTGCATGAAGTATAAAGTAGTTGTCCCTTCTGTAGTCACACTTGGGAGGTAGCAGTTCTTAACATATTGGGGAATATTCTTTTCCTAGATAGAAAGATAAATATTTATTAATACATAGATTTCTATTTTTTTAATCCTTGGATTCATACTACACATACTGGTCTGTAAACCACCATCCTTTTTGAAAACAATAGATTGTATTTGCCTTTACATATCAAAATATTGAGCGTTGCCATATCCCATTTAAGGGTACAAAGGGCCATGCGTGGTGGCTCATGCCTGTAATCCCAGCACTTTGGGAGCCCAAGGCAGGTAGATCATCTGAAGTTAGGAGTTCGAGACCAGCCTGGCCAACATGGTGAAACCGTGTCTCTACTAAAAATACAAAAAATTAGCCGGGCGTGGTGGTGGGTACCTGTAATCCCAGCTACTTGGGAAGCTGAGGCAGGAGAATTGCTTGAACCTGGGAGGCAGAGGTTGCAGTGAGCCAAGGTCACGCCATTGCACTCCAGCCTGGGCAACAAGAGCGAAACTCTGTCTCGGGGAAAAAAAAAAAATAGGGTACGTAGTATTTATATTGATATGTGGATATAGTATATTGATAATAATTTTTAAATAATTAATGTCTGTAGCTAGGCATTTAGTTGAGGTGTCTTGTTTATTCATCTTGTTTTCATTTCCCTGTTATAAACAACGCTGGAGAGAACATCACCATTGTGCATCTATGTATAGCCCTAGTGCACACTTCAGCTCTCTTTTTTGTAATCACTCTGTGCTTCCTGATTCCTGCTTTCTTCTTGTCTTTGGAGACCTAAGATCAATAGCCTTTGGTCTCTTACAAGATCATGAGAAGAATTTTTGGCTTTGCTTTTCCATATAACTTATTAACATTTAGACGTATCACTGTTTTTCCCAAATATGTACGTGAATAATTGGCCATGAAAGCCTGGAGGGTTTGAGAAAGTGCTGTCTCCACGTGATCAGGTCAGTGCTTCCTGGATTCTTCTGGAAGCATCCTTCTGCACAGGCTGGTTTTCATTTGCTATATGTCAAGACGACTGTTTTGAACATCCCTGACACGGGTTTGCTCTGGGACTGCTTCTAGATGCCCAGAAAGGAGCCTATGACTAGCATCAACCACAAGGAAACTCTTGCCTCCAGGAAGTCATTTGTCTCATGTTTCCTGGACTTCTGTAGACAGCAATGTGTAACCCTCGTGGGGGTGGTGGGTAAGGAGATTGGAAGCCCTTTGTCTATCTATGCCAGGCCGAACAGCCTGCCCAGCTCTGTGAATGCCACGTAGTTTGTATCTGCTTTTGCCAGAAACTGTGGAGTATAATGGGAAGTCTAAGGTGAGGCTATTCATTGAACAAATGATGAGTGTCTGCTGTGTACCTGGCACTTTTCTAAGCACCAGGGTTACAGCAATGATCAAAATAGGACAAAAGACATTCCTGCCCTTCGGAGCACTCTTTCTAGTGAACAGCTTAATAATTAGTAGTGTCTCCTGATAGCTGTACTTGGTAATAACCGTCTTGGAGCCTTCAGTATGGTGATGGATTTTTCTAGAACTTGGTATCAGATCTGCTTTGGATGTCTCCTGGTAGAATGACTTGGGAAGCAACCACATTAGTTAATGTGTAGTCATTCTTACTTCAGATGTGGTCCTGAGACCTGCATACCAAGACGGGAATGAACTCACAAATACAGAAACATGCACAGACATGCACATGTGTTCACACCTGTGCATACGTGCATATAACAGACAAGGCCTGGGCAAGTGGCAGGACTTGATGTTAGCAGTGGCTATTGTGAATAGTAGGAATATGGATCCTGTTTCTTTTTTTATTTTATTCTGTATACTTTTTGAAAATGCCTGACTTTTCCTCCATAGTGTGTACATATTTTGACATAAACTTTTTTTTTTTTTTGGATAGAGATGGAGTATTGCTATATTGCCTAGGCTGGTTTCAAACTCCGGGCCTCAAGTGATTCTCCCATCTTGGCCTTCCAAAGCTCTGGCATTAGAGGCGTAAGCCACTGCTCCTGGCAAACAGAAACTTTTTTAAGAAGCTGTTTCCATGTGTTTGTGCATATTTCTCTCTGTGTGTATATATTTATTTATTTTATTTTATTTTATTTTTTTTGAGACTGAGTCTCGCTCTGTTACCAGGCCGGAGTGCAGTGGTGTGATCTCTGCTCACTGCAACCTCTGCCTCCCAGGTTCAAGCAATTCTCCTGCCTCAGCCTCCGAATAGCTGTGACTACAGGTGGGCACCACCGCGCCAGGCTAATTTGTGTATTTTTGGTAGAGATGGGGTTTCACCATGTTGGCCAGGCTGGTCTTGAACTCTGACCTCAGGAGATCCACCCACCATGGCCTCCCAGAGTGCTGGGATTACAGGCATGAAGTGCTTCACCCAACCTGTGTATGTATATTTAAAAGGCTTTTTTGGAAAAGTCATACATGCATATAATTTTTTATAAAGCCAGAATAAAGTAGTATAGAGTAAAAGCAACCCTCCTCACTGCTAGTCTACTACCTTCTCTCTCAAGAGACAAGTACCATTTCTGGTTTCTTCTGTATTTTCCAAAAGTCTGTACATATACAGACAAATTTGTCTCACTTTTTCTTTACATGGAGAGTGGTGTACTGTGCACATTACTTGCTTTTTAAATCACACAACTTGCTTTTTAAATTCCATGATATGTCTTGGAGGTTATTGCATATTAATACGTATGGACCTACCCCATTTTTTAAAATGGCTGCGTAGTGTCCTGTTTTGACGTATCAGTCTGCTTCAATTTACTCTGCCTGTCTCCTCCAGTTACCACTAGTTTTTCTTACTGAAGTTTAACAGCTCTTTATATAATAAGGAACTCAACCCTTTGCCACTTGAATTGTAAATATATGTTTCTAGTTTGTCATTTGTGTTTTGACTTTGTTTTGACTTTGTTTCTTTTCAGTGAAAAGAAATTAAAGTGGAGCCACATCATGATTACTATTTTATAGCCGCCTTCTTTCCACTTAACCTGTCGTGAACATTTTTTCATATCCATAACTATGGGCCATGATCTTCCTTTTCAGTGCAGACCCTGGGATTGTTCTATTTTAATTCTTCCCACAGGATAGAATCACTTGAATTCCTGGATGAAATGGAGCTACTGGAGCAGCTCATGCGGCATTACTGCCTTTGCTGGGCAACCAAAGGAGGAAATGAGCTCGGTGCGTGACTGTACTTTTCTTGCCTTGACCTGGAAGTAGTGAACTTTTCTTTTTCCTTTTCTTTCCCTTTCTCTCTTCTTTTTTTGTCTTCCCTCTTTCCTTCTCTCTTCTTTCTTTCTTGTTTTGAGACAGGGCCTCACTGTGTCACCCAGGCTGGAGTACCGTGGTACGGTCATAGCTCACTGCAGCCTCCAATTCCTGAGCTCAAGTGATCCTCCTGCCTCCTGAGTAGCTGGGACTACAGGAGCCAGGCTGATTTTCTGTAGAGGTCTCTCTAAGGCTGGTCTTGAATTCCTGGCCTCAAGTAGGCTGGGCACAGGTTCTCACCCCTGTAATCCCAGCACTCTGGGAGGCTGAGGTGGGGAGATCACTTGAGGTCAGGAGTTCAAGACAGCCTGGCTAACATGGTGAAACCCTGTCTCTATTAAAAATACAAAAAAAAAAAAAGAAAAAGAAAAAAAATAACCAGGCGTGGTGCCAGGTGCCTGTAATTGCAGCTACTCAGGAGGCTGAGGCAGGAGAATCGCTTGTACCTGGGAGGTAGAGGTTGCAGTGAGCCAAGACTGCGCCATTGCACTCCAGCCTGGGCAAGAAGAGTGAAACTCCATCTCAGACAATAAAAAATAGATAAATAATTCCTGGCCTCAAGCAGTCCTCTTGCCTCAGCTTCCCAAAGTGCTGGGATTACCGACATGAGCCACTGTGGCTGGCCGGAACTTTTCTTCTCCCCAAACTGAAAGATATATTTGGAACTTTGGGCCCAGAAAGAACTAGAGGATCATGTACAAGTATCCGTGAGCATATCCAGAGAATTTGCTGTTATATCTTGTGTGTTTTTATAGCACAAAAACCAGAACTGTTTAAGCCACGTAGCCCAAAACAACCCTTGAGAGATGTACTGTGGAGTTCCCGCAGCTGGAAGGTAAAAGAGCTTGAGAGTTTAAAGTAAAAATCTCCAGAAAAGTAACCGGCGTGTCTTTTCCATCCACTTGCAACTAGGTTCACTGGATGTGAAACGCACAGATCCTTACATCTCCCTCACGAACCCAGGCAGCTAGCGGCTGGATTTTCCCTCTTCTTGTTAAGGTGCACATCCCTGTCTGTGGCCGAGTAGGGCCACGGGGAGCAGGTGTGGATCCATCTCTGTTTCTTGTTACCTTGGTCTTGGTCCTGGTCTAGCTCCTTTTCAGCTGCCCCCTGCTGGGCTTGCTTCCCGCAGTGGTTAGGCTTTGAGCGTCTCTCCAGACCGATGGAGGCCACTTTAGATCCCAGTTCCGGCCTTCAGTGGAATAGCTTCCTTTCAAGCTTCCCTCAGATGTAATCCACGTGACATGCAATCACAAGCAGGCAGCTGATCCGAAACAGAACTTGATAGAGGCAAGGACCTTCCCCATCCCCTATGCAAAAATTCCAGGTTGACTTGAGACTGATAATCAGCCCCTTTGGACTTGTCATTCCACACAGATTTGCCTAACTATGCAGCTCAGCCCACAGAGACCTTTCGCATTTGTTTGGTTTGGTTTTGGTTTTTTTGTTTGTTTGTTTTGAGATGGAGTCTTGCTCGTTGTCCAGGCTGGAGTGCAGTAGCATGATCTCGTCTCCCTGCAGCCTCCGCCTCCTGGGTTCAAGTGATTCTCCTACCTTAGCCTCCTGAGTAGCTAGGATTACAGGCATCCACCACCATGTCCAGCTAACTTTTGTATTTTCAGTAGAGACGCGATTTCACCATGTTGGCCAGGCTGGTCTCAAACTCCTGAACTTAAGTGATCTGCCTGGCTCGGCCTCCCAAAGTACTGGGATTACAGGCATGAGCCGCTGTGCCCGGCCTTCACGTTTGTTTTGGATTTAAAGTCATTTATTGGTGGACTGAGCACAGTGGCTCACACCTGTAATCCCAGCACTTTGGGAGACTAAGGCAGGCAGATCACCTGAGGTCAGGAGTTCGAAAGCAGCCTGGCCAACATGGTGAAATCCCGTCTCTACTAAAAATACAAAAATTAGCTGGGTGTGGTGGCGCATGCCTGTAGTCCCAGCTACTTGGGAGGCTGAGGCAGGAGAATCTCTTGAACCTGGGAGGCAGAAGTTGCAGTGAACTGAGACTGTGCCACTGCACTCCAGCCTGGGCAACAGAGCGAGACTCTGTCTCCAGGAAAAAAAAAAATAGTCACTTATTGGCATATTTTTATATTATCCTCCTCTTAATTATATTAAAAAAAATACTTCGTAGTAGGAAAGTTGAAAGCTTCTAAAAAATATAACAAAGAAAATCCACCTATATGCCTGTCAGTCAGAGATGATCTCTTGCGACTTTTCCCTTCCCCTCTATTTCTAAATATTGTTTTGTTTGTTTTTATAATGAGTTGAATTTTTATATTTATGCAACTTTGATTTCAAGTGTTTTCAATTTAATATTATAACTTTTAGCACTTCCCCCGGCAATTAAAAATGCTCAATGAGCATAATTGTAATGGCTTTATAATATTATGTCACTATGGCTGAATTAATTTTTCCATTTTTTGGAAATGTAGGTTATTTGTAATACTTTTAAGTGAACTCTAGTTCTAACAAAGGAACAATAATATTGAGCATTTTAATGTCAGGAATTTCTTTTGTCCCCACTGACCCCTGGCTGCTTTGGGACGTCAGTGCTTGTCTGTGTGGAAGATCCATCTCTGCCTTTGCTCAAAGTTCAGCACATAAAGGGTAGATTTTTGGCGTTAACTGCAGACAGTCCATAAACTGTTATAATGCTTTCTTAATCCTTTTAAAACCACCCATAAACACAGTCTTGCCCAACCTTTTGTCCTTGCGAAACCTCTTTTATGTTAGCAGGCGGGCGGTGCTGCAGTGGTCAGCAGTGTGACTGGTGCCCCTGAGCCGGTCACTGGGGGTCCTCTCGGGGCCTCTGCTCCTGGCCACCAGGGTCTCCTAATGGTGTCTGTGTGTCTCCCCTCAGGGCTGAAGGAGATAACTTATTAATCTGTTGAAGGCTTATGCCGAGCCAGAAGCGGAAGCCACTCGCCCTCCTGGAGGATACCTGCGAGCTCCCTGAGCAGTGGGCGGGCCTCATCTGCAGGTCTCATCCCACACGCTGAGAAGCCTCGATCACTACAGTGGTCGCCCATGTTCCTCTTCCTGTTCCTGTTGACATGTCGGTGTTTAAATAAATCTCACTTGCCACCAGTTTCCTGTGGTTGGAACTCTGCTGGCTGCCGCTGCTCATTCTGTGCCCCATGGGTTGGGCGGGCCAGGGTTCACCTCTGGGTTAGCTAAAGCCAAGGACCCCAAGTCTGCTTTAACCTTGGCTTACTCCCTGTGAGTCACACTCGGCCCATGACTTTGAGTCCGTTTTAGGATCCGCTCCCTCACGTGCTGTTCGTTGCAGCACATGACATTGTGCCTCACACCCTGACCCCTGGCCTCCACCAGATGCGAGGCTAGTGCTCTTCTCCGGCTCCTGCCTCCGCCCTGGCCACGCTGGCCTGTTCGGTTGCCTCCTTCATCTTGGTCATGGTGGCCGGCTGAAGGATGACCCCTAAAGTGTCCATGTCCTGACCCCCAGAGCCTGTGAGTGTGTGTTACCTTCTGTGGCAAAGGGACTTTGCAAATGGGATTAGGGGTTTGAGATGAAGAGGTGGTCCTGGGTCATCCAGGTGGGTCTGATGAGATCACGGAGTCCTCATTAGAGAGACAGACGAGACGTCAGAGTCAGAGGAGGAGAGGCCCGGAAGACAAGAAGCAGAGGCAGCCAGGGGATGCCGCCTAGGGCAGTAGCAGCAGACCCTCCTCGGCCTCCAGCCGGAACTGCCTGCCGACACCTTGATGTTAGCCCAGAGAAACTGATTTCAGATTTCGCACCTCCAGAGCCGTAAGAGAATACATCTGTGGTGGTTGGTTGTTTTTGAGATGGAGTCTTGCTCTGTTGCCCAGGCTTGGAGTGCAGTGGCATGATCTCGGTCCGCTGCACCCACCGCCTCCCGGGTTAAGTGATTCTTCTGCCTCAGCCTCCCAAGTAGCTGGGATTACAGGTGCGTGCCATCATGCCTGGCTAATTTTTGTGGTTTTAGTGGAGATGGAGTTTCACCATGTTGGCCAGGCTGGTCACGAACTCCTGACCTCAAGTGATCCGCCCGCCTTGGCCTCCCATTACAGGCATGAGCCAATGTGCCCAGACTGATCTGTGATGTTTTGAGCCACCAAGTTTGGGGCTTAAACTTAACAGCCACAACTGGAAGTCAGTGCAGTTGAGACAGGTTCGTAGGGCCCCTGAGTGATGACCTCATATTTCAGAAACAAGGCCTGTCCCACACCTGTCTGCTGAACTCCCTGAGTGATGGCTAGGCTTCGTCTACAGGGACTTCTTAGTTATGTGACTGGCGTTGTGAGCCGGAACCTGCATGTACAGGGTGGCACTGCAGAAGCCCTCAGTGCTCTCCTCTGCTGGAGAGGTAACAGCCCCTCTTCTACCATTCAGAATCCTTAAATCAGAGTCCTCTAGAGTGTGGGCCCTGCACCTCTAGTGGCATGCTGGTTGATGGGATGTGTTCCTATAAATAAATATCTGTGATACAATGTATAAATTAGGTATAGTAAGATTAGCAACAATTTAAAAAAGAACAATTATAACAATAAAAAGTTATGTGAATGTGGTCTTTGAAGATATCTTTAACTAGCCTGGTGCAGTGGTGCACACCTGTAATCCCAGCATTTGGGGAGGCCGAGGCAAACAGATCATGAAGTCAAGAGTTCGAGACCAGCCTGGCCAACATGGTGAAACCCCATCTCTACTAAAAATAACAACAAAAATTCTGGGCTTGGTGGTGGGCATCTGTAATCCCAACTGCTGGGGAGGCTGAGACAGGAGAATTGCTTGAACCCAGGAGGTGGAGGTTGCAGTGGACTGAGATTGCGCCACTGTACTCCAGCCTTGACGACAGAGCAGGACTCCATCTTGGAAAAAAAAAAATAGCTATACTCATTTTTGGACCTCAATGACCTCAGGTAACTGAAACCTTGGAAAATAAAACCATGGGAAAGGGGGGGAACTCTAGTATATGTACAGCATTAGCTGAAACAATGTTTACTTTTGCTGTGTTTGGAAAGGGCCTTGCACTGTCTCCCAGGCTGGAGTGCAGTGGTGCAGTCATAGCTCTCTGCAGCCTCAACATCCTTGGGCTCAAGCGATCCTCCTTCCTCAGCCTCCCGAGTAACTGAACCACAGGCACACACCACCATGCCTGGCTATTTTTTAATTTTTTGTAGAGACAGGGTCTCCCTGTGTTGCCAGGGCTGGTCTTGAACTCCTGGGCTCAAGTGATCCTCCCATCCGTCCTATTCCAAATTTGATACTGAAATTAGGCCAATTAATAACCCTACAGCGGCCTCTACATGCTCAAGTGAAAGGGTCACATGCTTTTCACTTTAAATCAAAGCTGGAAACTATTAAGCTTAGTGAGGAAGGCACGTCAAAAGCTGAGATAGGGTCGGGTGCGGTGGCTCACGCCTGTAATCCCAGCACTTTGGGAGGCCGAGGTGGGCACATCACCTGAGGTCAGGAATTTGAGACCAGCCTGGCCAACATGGTGAAACCTCATCTCTACTAAAAATACAAAAAGTAGCCAGGTGTGGTGGCAGGCGCCTGTAATCCTAGCTACTTGGGAGTTTGAGGCAGGAGAATTGCTTGAACCTGGGAGGCGGAGGTTGCAGTGAGCCTAGATCGCACCACTGCACTCCAGCCTGGCTGACAGAGTGAGACTCCATCTCAAAAAATAATAATAATAAAATAATAATAATAATAAATAGCTGAGACAGGCCGAAAGCTAGAGCTCTTGTGCCAAACAGCCAAGTTGTGAATGCAAAGGAAGAGTTCTTGGAGGAAATGAAAAAGTGCTACTCCAGTGAACACACAAATGACACGAAAGCGAAACCATATTATTACTGATAGGGAGAAAGTTCGAGCGGTCTGTATAGAAGATCAAACCAGCCACAACCTTCCCTTAAGCCAAAGCCTAACCCAGAGCAAGGCCCTAACTCTCAGTTATGTGAAGGCTGAGAGAGGAGAGGCAGCTGCAGAAGAAAAGTTGGAAGCTAGCAGAGGTTGCTTCCAGAGGTTTAAGGAAAGAAGCCATCTCCGTAACATAAAAGTGCAAGGTGAAGCAGCAAGTGCTGATGGAGAAGCTGAAGCAAGTTGTCCAGAAGATCTAGCTGAGATCATTGATGAAGGAAGATGGCTACACTAAACAACAGATTTTCAATGTAGGCGAAACAGCTTTCTCTTGGGAGAGGATGCCATCTAGGACTTCCATAGCTAGAGAGGAGAAGTCAATGCCTGGCTTAAAAACTTCATAGGAAAGCCTGACTTCTTAGTGTCTAGTATCGAATACAGCTGATGACATTAAGTTAAGGTCAGTGCTTATTTACCATTCTGAAAATCCTAGGGCCCTTAACAGTTGTGCCAAATCCAGTGGGTGCAGTGGGTCATGCCAAGGCAGGTGGATTGCTTGAGGCCAGGAGTTCAAAACCCCATCTTTACTAAAATATACAAAAATTAGCTGGGTGTGGTGGTGTGTGCCTGTAGTCCCAGCTACTTGGGAGGCTGAGGCACGAGGACTGCTTGAACCTGCGAGATGGAGGTTGCACTGAGGCAAGATTGTGCCACTGCACTCCGGCCTGTGAGACAAAGTGAGACTCTGAGTCAAAAAAAAAAGGCCAAATCTACTCTGTGCTATAGAAATGGAACAACAAAGCCCGGGTGACAGCACGTCTGATTACGGTGTGGTTTACTGAGTATTTTAAGGCCATTGTTGACACCTACTACTGAGAAAAAAATTACTTTCAAAATGTTATTGCTTATTGACAGTGCACCTGGTCGCCAAAGAACTGACAGAGATGTGCAAGGCGATGAAGGCTGTTATCATGCATGCTGACACAGCGTTCATTCTGCAGCCCCACAGATCGAGGAGTAATTTTGACTTTCAAGTCTTACTATTTAGAAATACATTTTGTAAGGCCAGGCGCGGTGGCTCACGCTTGTAATCCCAGCACTTTGGGAGGCCGAGGCGGGTGGATCACAAGGTCAGGAGTTCCAGACCAGCCCAGCCAATATGGTGAAACCCCGTCTCTACTAAAAATACAAAAATTAGCTGGGCGCGGTGGTGGGTGGCTATAGTCCCAGCTACTTGGGAGGCTGAGGCAGGAGAATCGCTTGAACTTGGGAGGCGGAGGTTGCAGTGAGCCAAGATCGTGCCACTGCACTCCAGCCTGGGCGACAGAGTGAGAATCCGTCTCAAAAAAAAAAAAAAAAAATAGCCTTAGCGCGACATGGTGACGCACACCTGTCATCCCCGGTACTCAGGAGGCTGAAGCATGAGAACCACTTGAACCCGGGAAGCAGAGGTTGAGCTCTCAGTGAACTGAGATCACGCCACTGCACTCCAGCCTGGGCGACAGAGCAAGACTCCGTCTCAAAGAAAAAGGAAAAAAAAAAAAAAAAAAAAGAAGCAGCTTATCCATTTAGGCTGGCCAAGGAAGCTTTCCTGAGACTGTCATACAAAGTCCCCTAGGCAGATGGATTAGCATTCACAAGAGAGCATGCTTGTATGCCCGTGTCTTCCGTCCTTACTAACTAATTGCATATTTGTGCTTCTCATTGCTTGTGTTAATTTATTCTGTCCCTATAATAACTCTACATCAGTTTGTTTTTATCCTTTTTTTTTTTTTTTTTTGAGACCGAGTCCCACTCCTGTCACCCATGTGGGAGTGCAGTGGCATAATTGCAACTCACTGCAGCCACTTTGGGCTCAAGGGATCCTCCCACCTCAGCCTCCCAAGTCTAATTAGCTAGGACTACAGGCATATGCCACCTTGCCCGGCTAATGTTTTACATTTTGTATAGATGGGGTCTCACCGTGTTACCCAGGTTGGTCTTGAACTCCTGGGTTCACGCAGTCCTCTTGCCTTGGCCTCCCAAAGTGTTGGGATTCCAGGCGTGAGTCACTCTGCCCGGCCTCATTCTCATTTTAAACATGAGGAAATAAGGGTATGTGGAAATAGTGTAATTTGTCCAAGGTCATACAGCCAGTCAATGATGGAACTGAATTTGAAACCAGGCAGGTGGGCTTTAGAGCCTGTGCTTTTGACCGGTATGTTGTTTGTGTCTCCTTTCTCCCCGCCCTAAATAGCACATA